CTCTCTCTCTCTCTCTCTCTCTCTCTCTCTCTCTCTCTCTCTCTCTCTCTCTCTCTCTCTCTCTCTCTCTCTCTCTCTCTCTCTCTGTGTGGTAGATACCAAATTGGCAGCTGTGTTGCTGGCAAGGACCAGGCTCCGTTTATGCTATATTTGTGATAACAAATCATGGACAGGCCCAGGATTGTGCCCTGGTTCATGCTCTGTGAGCATGAGCATCGCCCTGGTGGGGTCCAGGATGTATTCCTGAAAGTTGCTCACTGACTCAGACATTGCCTGGCATCCTTGCCGCCATCCATGGAATTTAATGCTTCTGACAGGGAGCGAAGGAGAAGGGTGACTGACATGTGGTGATTGATGCAGATCTGCAACTAATACACAGCTCTCTTGTTCGTTTGCGACCATGCAGGCATTGGATCGATGAAGATGCGCTTACAGAATCTTTGCCAGCTCGATGCTGCAACAGTGCCAGTCTTTCAAACTTGACAGTGCAGATGTGACCTTGCTTGTAGAAGTGCTGCTGGGCTGATCGGAACTTGAATGAAATTGGGCCAGGCTGGTTTCTTCTTTGATTTGCTCAGGTTTTGGGGGTTTCATACTTTTTATTTACCCAGACGGTTTATCATTTATAATTGCATAAAGACCGTATACTATGGCTGATGAACTTGATTCTCCTGTCAGGAGACCACCACCTCTGCATCGTGACAGCTTCGACACAGCGTCATCTTCGTCCTCGCCGGCTCGTGCCTCTCCAAAAGCATGGGGCATCACAGCTCCACCGGGAAGGAGTGTCAATGGATCGCAAAGGACGCACAATGTGGCTGCATGTCAAGAGGGAAAGGGTGATTTTGAATCGCCAAGGATTTCCAACGAGTTCATGAATCTCCATGATGGAAGGTATCGGGAGGAGTCGCCGAGATCGTCGTCGGAAATGGGAGCAGCAACGGGTGGCAGCGAGGATCGTCGCAGTACTGATCAACTTAAATGTCAAGCCTTTATCTTCCGCTACCACAATGCGCAAACTCCGCCCTTTGTTGGGCGTGCTGCGCTGGGGGGAGATGGCTCTCCAGTGTCCCATGTTATGAGACTCCCGTACCGAGGGGAATTGTCAAAGGTGGCACTTCAACAACACTTCTTCTGCCCCTGTTGCGCCGACGTCCTTCGGAACCCGATGACGTTACCTTGTATGCATGATGTATGCCACAGTTGCTTAGAGAAAGGTCGTAAGAAAACGCCGCCTGGCTCCCAAGTTGTCTGTCCTGTTGTGGGCTGTTACATTCCTATCCATGGAACTCCGACTCCGAACACGCAACTCCGAGTGGCCATTGGAAAGGTACCCATCAGGTGCGTGAATGGGATCTCCTTCGATGTCACAAGATTGAAATATAAAATGCTGAAAATCGATGTGCAGCCTCTCGCTTCGGACGACTTCTGTAGGCAAATATTGTCATATGAAAACCTCGACGTGCACATGAGCACTTGCCAGTACAGGTTGGTGTTCTGTGGATACCGCTCCGAAGGATGCACGGAGATTTGTTTGCTCCGTGATGTCGCAAGCCATGAGTCGTACTGCCCTTGGCGGATGTCCGTCTGCGCAGGCTGTCAGGAGGAAGTATGTGAAGCCAGGATGGATGAGCATCTGGAGAATGTTTGCCCGATGGCTATGGTTCATTGCACCTACGTTAACTATGGTTGCCCGCACATAACGCGACGCTCAGATTTGCAGAAACATGTTTCGAGCTGCGCATTTGGAGACGAAAATGTGCTCACTGCCTTCAAGGCGTTGTTGGAAAAACTGGAGGCCATGAAAAGGGCAGTCAGTGAGGAGCGTGCCAATGCTTTGAAATATCAGCAGGAGGCAGAGTACTACAGGCAACGACAAGGGATTAGATGAAACAAGTGTAACAAACTGAGTATTTTTACATGCACACTCACACACTCATTTGTATGTGTGTGCGCGCACTCTCTCTCTCTCTCTCTCTCTCTCTCTCTCTCTCTCTCTCTCTCTCTCTCTCTCTCTCTCTCTCTC